TCACCTGTTAAATTCAAGAAAAGGGGCCTTTCTTTTCACCTTTAACTTAAAGTGTTTTCTGCCCATCACCGGTTAACAAAAAAAAAGGGGCTGCTTTTCACCTTTTAACTTCATGAAGTGTCTGGGGTTTTTTTTTTCACCTGTTTAAATTCATGAAAGGTGTCGCTATCCACCTGTTAAATTCATGAAGGTTCTGGGAAACACCCTTTTTAAAATTAATGAAGGGGTCCCGCTAACAACCCGTTAACTTCATGAATGGGGGTTTTTGGTATCACCTGTTAACTTCATTAAGGGGTCTGCTACCACCGTTAACTTCATGAAGGGGGTCTTTCTATCACCTGTTTTAAATTCCCTGAAAGGTGCCCGCTACCAAAACCCGTTAACTTTTAAAAAAAGGTGTCGCTAAACCTTTTTAACTTCATGAAGGGGTTTTGCTATCACCTGTTAACTTCATGAAGGTGGGCTGCTATACGTTTAAAACTTTATGAATGGGGTCTTCTATCACCTTTAACTTCATAAGGGCCTGGTAACACCTTTTTTTTCATGAAAAGGGCTGCTATCACCTGTTTTAAATTCATGGGAAAGGGGTCTGCTACCACCCGTTAACTTTAAAGAAAGGGGTCCCCCCCATTTACCTTTTTAAAAACCCAACGGTTTTGCTACCACCTTTAACAATTTTATAAAGGGGTCGCTATCACCCGTTAACCCATGAAGGGGGACTGCTACCCCCTTTTTAAAATTTATGAAGATGTTCCCGCTATCCCCCTGTTAAAATTCAGAAGTTTTCTGCTATCACCTGTTTAACTTTAATGAAGGTGTCGGTAAAACACCTGTTAAAAATTTAAAAAGGGGTCCTGCTTCCCCCGTTTAACTTCCTAAGGGGTCTGCTATCCCTGTTAACTTCTGAAAGTGTTGCCCTTTACCTGTTAACCCTTTATGAAGGGTCCGGTTTTTCCTGTTAACTTAAAAAGGGGGGTCTGCTAACCCCCTTTTTAAATTTATGAAGGTGTTTTGGGAACCCCCTTTTAACTTCATGAAGGGTCTGGGTACCCACCTGTTTTAAATTCATGAAAGTGTCTGCTATCACCTTTTTAAAAAATTTATGAAGGTGGGCCGGGTAAACCCCCTGGGAAAATTAATGAAGGTTCTGTTATCACCTTTTAACTTTTATTTAAGGGGCCCTGCTATCAACCTGTTAAAATTATGGGAAAGGGGTCCTGCTAACACCTGTTTAAATTTCCCTGAAAAGGGTTTTGCTACCACCTGTTAAAAATTTATGAAGGGGGCCCGGTAAACCCCCTTTAACCCTTTAATTAAGGTGTCTGCTATCACCTGTTTAAAAATTTTATGAAGGGGCTGGTATCCCCTGGTTTTAAAATTTAAAGAAGGGGGTCTGCTACCCAAACCCTTTTTAAATTTTAGAAGGTGCCTTCCGCTAAACCAAAACCGGGTTTAAATTCATGAAGGGGTCTGGGATCACCTGTTTTAAATTTTAAAGAAGGTGCCGCCCAAACACCTGTTAACTTCATGGGTGTCTGGTATTCTTGTTAAAAATTTAAAGAAAGTGTCTGGGGGACCCCACCCCTTTTTTCTTTATGAAGGGTCCCGCATCACCGGTTTTAAATTCAAAGAAGGGTGTCCAGCTACCACTTTAACCCTTCCCGGGAAAGGTGTCTGCTAAACCAAACCTGTTAAATTCAAAGAATGTGGGCCGCTAACAACTGTTTTAAATTCCCTGAAGGGTCCCCTATCACTGTTAACTTCAGGGGGGTGTCTGCTTTCCCCCTTTTTAAATTTTAAAGAAGGTGTCCTGCTAACCCCTGTTAAAATTAAAAGAAAGGGGTCTGCTTCACCTTTTAAAATTCAGAAGGGTTTTCGGGTAACCCCAAAACCCTTTTTTAACCTTTATAAAAAGGGGTCCCCGCTAAAACCTGTTTTAAATTCAAGAAAGGTGCCCCGGTATCACCTGGGTTAAAAATTCATGAAGGGTTCCCTTCAAAAAACCTTTTTTTAAACTTCATGAAGGTTTTCCCGCTACCACCTGTTTTAAATTCATGAAAAGGGGTTTTTTGCTACCCCCCGGGTTTAAAATTTAGAAGGTGTCCGGGGTATCACCCCGTTAACTTCATGAAGGTGTCTGCTACCACCTGTTAAAATTCATGAAGGTGTTACCTGGGTATCACCCGTTGCCTAACGTTAAAGGTGGGCCTGCCCATTTACCTTTTAACTTCAAGAAGGTGTCTGCATAAACCATTTAAAATTCATTAAAAAGGGGTTTTTGCTACCACCTGTTTTAAATACCCCTGAAGGGGTCCCGCTTTTTAAAACCTGGATAAAAAATTTTTATTTGGGTGTTGCTAAACCCCCTTCTTCAAATGTTTCCCGGGTAAACCCCTTAACCCGTTTAAATTCATGAATTTTCTGCTAATTTCCAAACCCGTTTAAAAAAAAAGGGTTCAAACCTGCCCCAAACCGTTAAGATAATTCAAAAGGTGTCTGGTATCCCCCCCGTTTTAAATTCATAAGGTGTCTGCCCACCTACCTTTTAACTTCATGGGAAGGGGTTTGCAAAAAAACCGAACCCCATTTTAAAAAAAATGTAAAAAATTCTGAAAAAAAACCGGGGGAAGGGGGTTATGAGGGGGTGTTTGTTAACGCATAAAAAAACCAAAGGCAAAGGAAACTCCAGGCCCTGGAAACATTAAAAGGGGAAGGGGGCCCCCAAACCTGAACCCTTCAGAAAAGGGGGGTTCTACCACACCCGTTAAACAACAAGAAGGGCAAGTTTTGCAAACACCTGTTAAAAAAAAAAGGGAAGGGTCTCCCAACCCCCCCCCCCCGGAACACCCCCTTCCCCCCCGGGGTGGTTCCCTTGTAAAACCCCCTTTAACTTCAAAAGGGGTTCCGTAAAACCAAACCTGTTTAACTTTCCGGCCCAAAAAGAAAAAATTTTCTTGCACCAACCCGTTTAACTTTTTTGCAAGGGTATCTTGCCCAAAAACACAACCTTTAAAAATTAAAAAAGAATTTTTCTGTTAAACCGAAAAAAACCCTGAAGTGTCTGCTACCCACCTGTTTAAAACCTTTTATTAAGGGGTTTTTTGCTAACCCCCTGTTAACCTTTATGAAGGGTCCCGCAACACCTTTTTAAATTCATTAAGGGTCCGTAATATGGAGTTTAAAAAATGAATGTGGGAAACCCTTTTTAAAATTTATGAAGGGTCCCTGCTAACAAACCTTTAAAATTCATGAAGGTGTCTGTAAAACCTTAACTTCATGAAGGGTGTCGAAAACCCCCTGTTAAACCATTTAAGTGTCGCTAACACCCGTTAACTTATGAAGGTGTTGCTCCCCCTGTTAACTTCTGAAGGTGTCTCTAACCCCCCTGTTTAAATTTTTAAGGGTCTCTAACACCTTTAACTTCAGAAGGTGTCTGCTACCCAAAACCTTTAACTTCATGAAGGTGTCTGTACACCTTTTCTTCATGAAGGTGTTCTGTACCACCTGTTAACTTCTTTAAGGTGTCTGCTACCACCTGTTAACTTTTTATGAAGGGTTTTTAAAAACCAACTTCATAAGGGGTTTTCCAACACCAACCAGAAAGGGGGACCCCGAACCAAAGGGGTTCGCTTTAACCCGAAACCCCAAAGGGTCCGCATCACCGTTTTAACCTAATTTTCCCCCCACCTGTTAAAATTAAAAAGGTCGCTCCCCCTTTAAACTTAGATTCCCCTTCCCTTTTTTTAAACTTTGAATTTGCATCACCCCCCAAAAACCAGAAAAGGGTTGCTAAACCTTTAACTTTGAAGGTGTCGTATACGAACTTCAAAGGGTCTGCAACACCGTTAACTTTATAAGGTGCGCAAAAACCCTGTTAACTTCAGAAGGGTCTGCTATCACCTGTTAACTTCAAAAGGTGTCTCTACCACCGTTTTCTTAATGAAGGTGTCTGCTATCACCGTTAAATTCATAAAGGTGCCTCGCCAAATTAACTCAATATCTTAACAAAATTGTAAAAGTAACTACCGTATCGAAGGAATATAATCCGACAGGGTTTGGTGAATATAATACCCTAGGTTTTTAATAAATCCGAAGGGTTTGGGGAAAATAATGCCCACAGTTGGCGATAAATACCGACAGGGTTGGGAATATAAAGACAGGTTGGTGAATAAAATACCGACAGTTGGTGAATAAATACAACAGGTTGGTGAATATAAAACCGACAGGTTGGTGAAAATTTTAATACCGACAGGTTGGGAATATAATACAAGGTTGGTGAATAAATACCGACAGGTTGGTTAATATAATACCACAGGTTGGTGAATATAATACCCCACGGTTTGGGGAAAAAATACCCACAGGTTGGGAAAATTTTAAAACCGATGGTTGGTGAATATAATACCGACAGGTTGGTGAATATAATACCGAATACGAAACTTGAGCAACACAAGAGGATAATTTAAAACATTTTTCTAACACCAGGGACTTCATGAATACATTGATGAAGGTCCCCTGGTGAGCGGGATTGTTTCTTAAACAAAGATACCCAGGGTTTGCAAGTCTATCTTATGTAAGAAACAAAGCACAAGGTCACTGGATAATTTACAAGATAAAAATAACATAGTCAATTATTTGCTTAAAGTAATTACAGTTAAACAGGTAAAATAATAGACTGTGTGTTAGATATCCACTATCTAAACGCCAAATGAAATGCATAAAACTTTTCAATTGTAATTTATTTTGTAAAGAACTATTGCAAGATTTAAAAAATAGAACATAACACTCCTTTTAAAGCTTAATTTAATAAAGCATTTTTTGACAAGTGATATGCAGAACAAAGGCAGTCTTCATGACCTTGTTAAAAATCTAACACACCAAACTGTTATTCTGATATCAACTAATTACATACCTAATAAATACAAATAATTCTTAAATTATCCATAAATTGTTTAAATTTTATCAGAAATCTTAAATACCACAAAACTGGAAATGATGCTTACATAGGTTTGGAAACTATAAGAGGCATATTGGAGAGAGCTGTCATGTTGTTTTGCCTGGCTAAATGAATATCAAAGGTGGCCTTGAAGCTGGGCTCATCGAAGCTTGGGAAGGCTCTTCGCGCATCACCTGGTGAAAACTGAGATGCGGCCAACCATCTGAAATTTGTAGCCTTTGAATATATTCTGAAATTTACATATCACGCGAGATGTATACACTGAGAGCAGCATTGAATATACATTTGGAAGGCTGTATATCTGATGATATAATATAAAGAGTTTATTTCAATCTCAATGTCAGGAATTAAGGTAATGGTGAGAGGAGGCGTAAGGATAATGAGAACCCATCACCAACCTCATTTAACTGATAATTGCTACACGAGAGGAATATTCTAACAACCTCAAGGAAAAATACTGAGATTTCTTTTTGAGGGCTTTTCATTTACTTCTAAGAGACTATTGGTCCTCACATTTATATTAATGCAACCACGGACAAGTGGTTTTAAAGACAATCAGAAACTGTGGCTAGCCAGGGATCGAACCAGTGTTACTTTAGCCTGCCTAATAATAAGCAAGTCAAAATTCACGACGCTCTAACTACTGATGGCTTAGTGGCCATCAATATATACAGTGCCTGCAAAAAAATCTTTACATGTCCAACACAAAAAACAGTCTATACACGAAATTTTGGTGCATACAGTTCACTCGCGTTTCCGCCATAGGAAAAGTGTGATGACATAGTGTACTGGAGCCCGTCTTACTCCATTGTTCCCCACCATGCTACGCTTCAGTGCTCTGCCAGAGCTCGGTGAGGAAGTTTATTGTTACTTTGTTCCTCAGTGCCCCTTTGTTCACTCTACCACGAACTTTGTCACGCTATATCTTCGCTCCAAGTGGTCAGAATGGATCGAACTTAAAGTATCAATTGCAGAGAAGAGCCATGCACTCACCCTATTAGAGCAAAGTATGTCTGTGATATGCATAGCCGCAGACCTGAAGGCGACGAGGATCAATTTACAACCTCAAGAGAGCAGCTGCTTCACTCCCACCTGGCTTTTTCTTGAGGTATGGGCTTTTAAATTTTCTTTTCCCGCACAAAAACAAGATCCCCCGAGGGGGAAAGTGTTATCAGATCCTCCCTTTAACAGTTTGCAGACCTCAAAAAAAAGAAGTTTGGTTTTGTATTTCGCCCCCCAAGGGACACACGATCGGTACCCTTCTCTGGGGTTTAATTTTTCCATTCAAAGTCCCTGTTTGGTTGAACTATTAAAGGGGCAATTTTTTTTTATTATTGTGACCGGGAACCCAAAGTAGAAATTGATAAAATAACAACACTGACTCCCCCAAAGGGACTCGAACCCTTTGGCTGCTTTGGATCCCCGGTCCAGGGGAAATTTGGGGCGTCAGTGTTTTCAACCCCCCATAAAGGCGGGGCCAAAAGCAAACATGGGTTCGAGTCCTTGGCTATTGCAGTGTTGTTATATTTATTTTTTTTAATTTTTTAAAAACGGGCCGATTCCCACCAAGGCCGGGGGGCCCCGAAAAAGAAAAACTTTCACCATCATTCACTCCACCCACTTTTCTTGCCAAAAGGGGTGCTTTACACTACATTTTTTTAAACTGCAACATTAAAAAACCCCCCTCCTTCAGAGTGCAGGCACTGACTTCCCCACCCGGGGACTCAAGTTCGGCCTGCCCGGTTTTCCCTGAACCCTTCAAAAATGTTATTTTTGCTTTACACTCCAACAGCCGTAAAAGATTAAAAACCATTTGTCTCCATTCACTCCTTTTCAAACACCCCTCACGAGCCTGCGGGAAAGGCCAAAAGCCCCCCTCGCCCCCACAAAACCTCCTTTCCCCCCCGTCCCCCCAACCTTTCCTGGGAAGCCCCTACCCCCCCTTTCCCTTTCCACTACGGGGAACTAAAAAAATACACCCCTTGAAGTCCCCCTTTTTTTCGCTCCATTTTTTCTCTACATGTCCAAACCCCCTTTCAAAAAACCCTTCCTGACCCTTCGGGAAAACCAGTTTAGGTAACCCGCCCCCCTCCTAATTTCCCCCAAAAAACTACAACTTCTCTTTTTATATTCACACCCCCAACATTCCCCCCCTCAGACATGAAAAAGGGTTAAAAGCAGTGGGGAAAAGTTTTGGAGGGTTTGGGTTTTGCAATTATTTAAAAAATGTAGGGAAAGGGAAGGGTAAGGTACCTAGGGATTGGCAGAGAGAAATGCATATTTCCTTTGTAAAAAAAAAAGGGGACAAAAAAAGATTGCAAAAATTAAAGGGGGAAAAAGTCTGTTAGAATACCGGGTTTAAATGGTATGGTGGGTTTAGAGATTATTGAAAAAATTTAAAGGTAAGACGGAAAAAATTGGATGCAGATGAACAAGGAGGCTTTAGGAAAGGTAGGGGGTGTGGGGCGCCCCAGGTGTTTCGGGTAAAACCTAAAAATTGAACAGTATTTAGATAAGGCTAAAGGGGTTTTTTGTGGCATTTAGGTTTTGGGAAAAGGCGTTTTTGACGGGGTGGTTTGGGGGGGGGCAAGGGTGGCAGATGTTAAAGGGTGTTTGGTGTAGGAGGTGGGGGGGGGGGTTAACTGAAAGCAGTGAAGAGTTTTTCCCCCCCCCCCCCCCCCCCCCCGGAGGTTAGTGATGGGATTTATGTAAAAAGAGGGAAATTTAATTTCCCAGAAAAAAAGTAGGCCTTAGACAAGGATGTGTGTGTCCACCGTGGTTTTTTAAATTATTTTTAGATGGGGGGTTTTAAGAGAAGTAAAAGCGGGGGGTCTTGGCATTAAAGGGGTGGGGTTAAAAAGATAAGAATTTACAACATAAAGTGGGAGTTTTCCGTTGCTTTTTTGCTGATTACACCCGGGTCTTGGGGGATTCTGAAGAGAAGTTGCAGAGTTTGGGGGGAAAGAATTTGGTTTGGGTTTTGCAAAAGAAGAAAATTTAAAAATGAATACAGGAAAGGTAAGGGTTTTTGAGGGTAAAAAAAAGGAAAGGGGGAAAGGGGGTTGGATATCAGATTGGAGGGAGAGAGTATGGAGGAGGTGAATGTATTCAGATATTTGGAGAGTGGACGTGTCAGCGGAGGGGTTTCTTATGAAAGATGAGGTGAATCATAGAATTGATGAGGGGAAAAGGGTGAGTGGTTGCACTTAGGAGTCTGTGGAGACAAAGAACTTTGTCCTTGGAGGTAAAAAGGGGAATGTATGAGAGTATAGTTTTACCAACGCTCTTATATGGGTGGGGAAGCATGGGTGTTTGAATGTTGCAGCGAGAAGGCTGGGGGCAGTGGAGAGGTTGTTTTATTTTATAATATATATATAAATATATATTTTTTATATATATATATATATATATTATATATATATTATATATATATATATATGTATATTTTTATATATATATATTTTATATATATATATATATATTTATATATATTAAAATATATTATATATATATATATATTTATATATATATATATATATTCAACAGAGCTGCGGGGTTGGCCAGGACTCAATCCTTCGTTTCCATGCCTGGCCATATGAGAACTGAACAAAGATTATATCACTCAGTCCTGGCTAAGCCGCAGTTCTGTTAATGATTCAATGTCACTTGTTTCGTGATTTCATTAATATATAGACTGCTCGTATGGGCTGGCACCCCAAACAGGATGAGGCTGAAATTAGTCTCTGATCACGTATGTCTTTGCATCAGGGAAAATACGCTTTAGTACTGCTGAGCGCCTGGTGTTTATGGATTGTTCACAGTTCCTTGATAATGTGAAAAGTCACGAATGCGCTTGGAATTTCACTACTTTTTCTAGTGGCAAATAAGTAAATATGTTGAACAACCATGGTAACACATATCCCTGTGAAAAGCCTACTTTTACTCTTTCCTATATACTCTAACCTGAGCCTCACTATCCTCGTAAAAACTCTTCACTGCTTTCAGTAACCTACCACCTGTTCCATACATTTGCAACATCTGCCACATTGTTCCTGTGTTCACCCTATCATATGTTTTTTCCAAATCCATAAATGCAATAAAAACCACTTTACCCTTATCTAAATACTGCTCACCTACATATTTCACTGTAAACACTTGGTCTACACACCCCCTACTCTTCCTAAAGCCTCCTTGTTCATCTGTTATCCTGCTCTCTGTCTTACTTTTAATTCTTTCAATAATAACTCTACCATATACTCAACAGGCTCATTACCCGTATAATTTTTGCACCCTTTTGTCCCCTTTGCTTTTATACAAAGAAATTATACATGCTCTCTGCCAGTTCAGAACTATATCCCCACCTGCTTTTGCCATTATAGTCTTCATTCTTTTTATTCTACCCACTGAGTCACGCACCTTCCCCACACTCATAACTGGCTCTTCCTCACTCCTACAATGCAGGAAATTACCGCTTCCCTATATTCACCAACATTAAACAGTTCCTCAAAATATTCCCTCCGTCTTCCCGATACTTCCAGCTCTCCATCTAATAACTCTCCTCTCCTATTTTTTAACAGTAAAATCCATTAGTTCCCATGGCTTTCTTATTAATCTCACTTCAAAACTTTTTTTCTCAGCAAAATTTGTCTATAGCATCTCACCCACTCTCTCATTTGCTCTACATTTACATTCCTTCACGACTCTCTGAACCCCACTTTTTCTCTCCATATATTCCTCCCTCCTTTCATCACTTTTATTTTGTAAAAACCTCTCATATGCTAGATTTTTCTCTCTTTACCTCATCATTCCACCTGTCGCTCTTCCCTCCCGCACCCACTTGCCTGTAACCACAAACTTCTGCAGAACACTCTAACACTATATTGTTAAATCTACCCTGTACCTCTTCAACATCATTGCCTATACTCTCACTACACCATCTTCCTTTCAGTACTTGTTTATATCTTGCCCCAACTGCCTTCTCCTTTAGTTTATATATCTTTCTTCTTTCAACACACCGGCCGTATCCCACCGAGGCAGGGTGGCCCAAAAGGAAAAACGAAAGTTTCTTCTTTCAAACTTAGTAATATCTACAGGAGAAGGGGGTTACTAACCCATTGCTCCTGGCATTTTAGTCGCCTCTTAGGACACGCATGGCTTACGGAGGAAGAATTCTGTTCCACTTCCCCATGGAGATAAGAGGAA